AGGGCTGGGCTTAGTCCTGCCAAATAAGGCAGGCGAGTACACAGAGCCACGCCGGGCCGCGCCGCGTCGCCGTGCTAAGCGACGCCAAGAGGGCCGAGGGTGAGGAGAGAACGATGCGCTTCGCGGCGTCGGTCCTCGCGGACTGCAGCAGGGCGTGGTGCGTGCCTCCGAGGCCCCCGAGAAGGCCTCCGCCGTGGTGCAGTGGCACCTGCGTGTCGTCATGGTATCCAGTTCGTCTGTCAAAACTCGGCGGTCGCGCTTTCTAATCGAATGCCATCTCGATTATCTCGATTCGGAGGGCGTGGTCGCAGCCTGGTCCTTGTAGGGCTCGGGGCATTGTCTGCCTTCCAGTCCTCTTTTCGTCCTCTGGATCGCTTTCAATTTATTTTCCAGGCGAAAGATTGCCTCCGCCTCCAGCAGGGTCCCTGGAATCGCCTGCTAAATCGGCGCGCAGTCACCGCACGCACGGTAGCCGCGAAGCTGGCCGCAACGGGCTGCCCGCACGCCCACTAAGGGGTATTGAAATGCACGTTTTTTTGAATTCCATACCGGCACACTCGGAAAAGGGTTCATTCTTACCTAAAACCACCGCAAACCAAATTTGAGACCGACCGAAAAATATTTAGGGGTCGCTACAATGGCTGAAAGTTGTAAATTTGACGTAATTTTTGAAACTATACAACTTTGGAGTATTTGAAGCCCTGCGCAGCCGGTGTTGGTCCTAGCTTGTTGCCCCCGGAGACTTTTTTTTTCCCGGGATCCAGGCCGACCAAAAGAACCCTACGGGATGCATTTTGAGCGAATGATAACGGAACTGGGTCCATTTTACGCTCAAAAAAGTGTATTTTTCTCCGCTTTTAGGGTTTTAGAGGCCTACCAAACTTTTGCCTTGCGTCACAAGAAATCTAAACTCATGTATTTTGATAGAAAAAAGGTTGCTCTTTCAAATGGCGGTCACGGAAACAGTCTACGATTTTTGGTTTAGGCTCCAGAGCCGTTTAAAGTTGAAAAATAGATTTTATTTTAGTGAAAATTAGAGCAAATGTTCACTCGTAGTCACGTGCGACGTATGGTTTGGCCACTAGCGCTACCCGGCGAAGTGCAGGCGGTGCGCTGTGGTGGGAGAAACTTCCCGGGTAGAAATGTACGGCTTTTATACGGCTGCTAAATATTTTGTGATCAAAGTAAGGCGAAGGCGTTCGAAAAATACCCGGATTATGTTTGGACTGTGTCAGCCTCTTTTCTCCCATTCTTTCACAGCAGGTCGCAGCAGGTCCACGCTATACACTAGCTGTTATTGCCGCGCATGATCAACAGTGTTCGCTGGATCGTGACATCATAGGCTTGATCCTGGGGCAGGGACCGGCTGAGTTCACGCGGTCGTGGATACGTAGACGGACCGCTCAGCTGCAATTCGTTTTCAGCGCTGACGCTCTGGCCCGGCCCAGCGGATATCCGCTCTTGTCTCGCAAGCGGCAGGTTTGTGGATCGACGCCAGTGGTTTTTTTTTTTTGCTGCAGCGGCCAGCGATGCGGCAGCTCTTTGCCGATATTTTGTCTTTGCCTTCTAGACATCTTTTTAAGGTTGTTTAAAAAGACGTCGAAAAGCGGCCGGCCAGAGACTGGCAAAACGCCCGCAAAATATCCGAATATTTTGTCGACATCTTGCTGACACAGTCCAAACATAATCCGGGAATTTTTCGAACGCCTTGGCGTTACTTTGATCTCAAAATATTTTGCAGCCGTATAAAAGCCGTACATTTCTACCCGGGAAGCTTCTCCCACCACAGCGCACCGCCTGCACTTCGCCGGGTAGCGCTAGTGGCCAAACCATACGTCGCACGTGACTACGAGTGAACATTTGCTCTAATTTTCACTAAAATAAAATCCATTTTTCAACTTTAAACGGCTCTGGTGCCTAAACCAAAAATCGTAGACTGTTTCCGTGACCGCCATTTGAAAGAGCAACCTTTTTTCTATCAAAATACATGGGTTTAGATTTCTTGTGACGCAAGGCAAAAGTTTGGTAGGCCTCTAAAACCCTAAAAGCGGAGAAAAACACACTTTTTTGAGCGTAAAATGGACCCAGTTCCGTTATCATTCGCTCAAAATGCATCCCGTAGGGTTCTTTCGGTCGGCCTGGATCCCGGGAAAAAAAAAGTCTCCGGGGGCAACAAGCTAGGACCAACACCGGCTGCGCAGGGCTTCAAATACTCCAAAGTTGTATAGTTTCAAAAATTACGTCAAATTTACAACTTTCAGCCATTGTAGCGACCCCTAAATATTTTTCGATCGGTCTCAAATTTGGTTTGAGGTGGTTTTAGGTAAGAATGAACCCTTTTCCGAGTGTGCCGGTATGGAATTCAAAAAAACGTGCATTTCAATACCCCTTAACGCCCACACGCCCAAAGCCCAAAGCACACAGTCCATTAAATTGGCTTCCTTTTATTGGCCCGGCGGGCGTGGCCGGCCAGGCAAGGGTTGGCGGCATTGTCCGGCCGGATTCGATGCGTGCGCTATGCCGCTGGAAGGCACTCTGCTCCAGATCGACACCAGGGCGGCAGCACGGCCGAGGAGGTGGCCTGCCCGGAGTCCCGGAGGCGGGCAGCGCGGGCAGCGCCCGGAGTGACTCGGCCGCGGCCGGCCAGGTGAGGCAGGCACTGAGGCATGTCCGGAGCCGTCCGGAGCAGCGCAGGCCGCGCGGGCAGCGCCCGGAGTCCCGGAGTTGTGAGCGCAGCGGGAGTGGGGGCACGGAGGGCAGGGCACGGAGGGCAGGGCACGTTCGCCACCAACAAAAGCGCAGTGAGAGCAGCACGCACCACTAATTTTGCACGTGCTGCTAATCTCGTCGTGGACCTTGTCTCGGTCGCGGACAGGTGAATACTCTGCTGGAGGGAGAGGGGCGGCAGGGCGGGGCCCTCGCGGCCTGCTCCTGGCTCGATGGGTCCTACCGAAAACGAACGATCTCCAAAGTACGGATAAAGAACGAACGATCTCCAAAGTACGAATAAAGAACGAACGATATGCTTAAATACGGAGAAAGCAAATGTAATTTCGATAGCCCAAGTAAAAGAAATACATTTTGTTCAGTTTTCCGTTGTTAGCTGTATTTCTTGGAAATGCGTCAATGATTTTACCGAAGCAAACTGTTTCACACCCATGTCTTACATAACCTCAAATCTGGGCAGTCCCGTGGAGATCGTTCGTTCTTTATTCGTACTTTGGAGATCGTTCGTTCTTTATTCGTACTTTAGAGATCGTTCGTTTTCGGTAGGACCCATCGAGCTGCGCCTGACTGGACAGATTCTGGGGGCTTCTGGAGAGGCTGGCCCCGCTGCTGGAGGAGGGCTGGACGACGGGGACGTGCCGATATGGCGCCGATGGCCGGCAGCGGGCAAGGGGTAACCAACTCAAGATTTTCATGTACACTGATTATATTTAGAGTATGATTACATGTGATTTATTTTGATTATTTTATTATTTATCACTGATTATAGGAGGTTATTATGTTGATTATTGGGAAATATTGGGGATTATTTGAGCGCCGACCTCGGAAAGCTGTTAAAGTGTCGGAAATTCAATATTGGTGACTTTGGGCAGCCACTGCGTCAAATTTAGTTGCGGTCATAGGCCTTCCTCGACGCCTTACTATTATGAAGACCCTACTCTTTCATACCCCGCCTCGGGAAGGCTTTGGCCGCTGATACTTTGGGAGCAGTAGTCTCGCAAAAATGGTCAGAAAGTGAATGGATTTCAGAAAATTACCGTTTTTGCTGACTTTGAGCGGTCACTGCATCCAATTTAGATGCGGTCAAAGGCCTCCCTCGACGCCTTACTATTCTAAAGACCCCACTCTTTCATGACCCGCCTCGGGAAGGCTTTGACCGCTGATAGTTTGGGAGCAGTGGTCTCGCAAAAATGGTCAAAAGTGATTGAATCCCCGAAAGTATGATTGTCATTTCATTGGATGATGTTGATTATTTCACTGATTATGAACTAGACGTGCAGTGATTATCTTCACTGTGAGAAAAAAGTACGGAAAAAGTACGGAACATGTCTGGTCAATAATTTGCCTAGACCGTCCGTACTTTCCAACTACGGAACGTTCCGTACTTTTTTTCCGTACCCATTTACATGGGTTCCTATGGAGCAAGTACGGAACGTTCCGTACTTTTCTCCGTACCTCCGTACTTTATTTTTCTGTACCATTTCCGTACAAAAGTACGGAATTTTTTACAGTGTTGAGTTGCGGCAGGGTCGTCTCCAGACGGCGCTAAACACCCTTCCCTTTTGTGAGCCTGCTCCGGCTCGCTTTACTTCTCCAGCGGACTCCGGTCCGGAGACTCCAGCGGCCCCACGGAATGTCCCTGCCGTCCCGCCGTGCCGCCACCGCGCCGACGCCGCGTCGGCGGCGAGACAAAGCGCCAGGTCGCTAATTTGCGAAAACGGCCGGAAAAGGTATCCGAAGACCGCGTGGCCGAAGTGGACGACGGGGGCGGTGACTCCCCCCCCCCCTCCTTTTCTCCCCATCCTCCCGATGGGCCGTCGATGATCCTCTCAGCTGATTTAACCTCTTGTTGCCCCACGCGCCGCCGAATGCGTCCAATGCCATTGGTCGCGGTGTGAACCGTCCGGGGGGCGTCCGGGGGGCGGGGCTCCGATTTATTGTGATTAGCAGCCATTATGCCTTTTGCCCCTCGAGGCCGCGGGGCCTGGTGGGGCCTGGCGGGGCCCTGACGCCCCATCATCGCATCGCGGTGCTCCGTACGCCGCCCCGCCCCGCCGTGCCTTTTAATTTAGATGTAGGTTCAGATAAAGACTCGTGTCGGGGTGGAGGTAGTGGGCGTTACACGGCGTCCCGGGGGACCCAACGGAAGCCGCAGTGCGGCCGACTTTTCCCGAAAAATTGATTGAAGTGAATACACACCACGAATCGCCAGCCGTTGATTTTTGTCTTGGATTTGGCGTTTCTTACGGCCTGTTCTCTATCCACTGTTCCAGGTCTACCACGTGTCCTACGTCATCCTGAAGACTGGCCCCAGTCCGCGGCCAGCGGCGTGGGTGCTCGAACGCAGCGTGGACGACGCGGACGGCGAGGTCGGCGACGGCGCCTTCACGCCGTGGCAGTACTACGCCCCCACGGACGAGGACTGCTGGGGCCGCTTCGGCGTGGCCGCCACGCCCGGCGACCCCGCCAAGGCCGTGCTGCAGCGCGACGACCAGGTCATCTGCACCAGCTTCCACTCCAAGGCGTACCCGGCCGAGGACGCGGCGGTGAGTTGAGCCGCCCTGGCCAACACGGGTTGGGTCGCGGTACGCACAGTGGGTCAGAAGACCGGTGGAGGCTGACAAAATTCTTGACGCGTTTTGAGCTCCAGAGTCGCCAAACGGGGCTCGAACCGAACGTGTGACCCCACCAATGGATTGCTCTCCGAACGGGGAATCCATTGGTGGGGTCACGCGTTCGATTCGAGTCCTGTTCAGCGACTCTGCAGCTCAACACGCGTCTGGAGTTTTGGCCGCCTCCACCGGTCTTTTGGCCTTCGCTTCCCGTCCTTCATGGTCGTGCTCGTGGTGCGCAGGTCCACACGTGGCTCGTGAAGGGCCGGCCCGGCGCCAACGCGTCGTCCGACTCGCTGCGGGCCTTCCAGGCGGCGCGCAAGGTGCGCCTGCGCTTCCAGAAGCTGTCCCTGCCGCACAACGCCGACCCGCGCCGCGCCTTCTACTCCATCAAGTTCCTGTCCATCGGGGCGCAGTGCGCGTGCAACGGCCACGCCAGCAAGTGCACCAGCCCGGCCAAAGGCGGCGTGAGTAGCCCACTGCACCGCGAGTCCTCTGCAGTCACCGCGCCGCCCGGAGAGCAGGCAGCCCAACGTGCACCGCGCCGGCTGGGCGGCCTACCCTCACGGCGGTGCGCCAGTGCACACACTGCAGCAGTGTCAAAAGGGTTGCCAACCTCAGCCCTGGCCTCAGCTTGCCTTTCACGTAGCACCCCCAGCGACCCCAGCGAGTTTCTCTGTCTCTGTCGCAGCGCGCGTCGTGCAAGTGCCAGCACAACACGGAGGGCGCGGCGTGCGAGCGCTGCCGGGCGCGCTTCCAGCAGCAGCCCTGGGCGCACGGCCAGCCCTGCGAGGAGTGCCAGTGCCACGGCCACGCCCGGGCCTGCCGCTACGACGCCGACGTGGACCGCCGCGGCGCCTCCATGGACAAGCACGGCGTCTACCGCGGCGGCGGAGTCTGCCTCAACTGCACCGTGAGTACCACGTCGTCTCGGCGGCGCGCAGTGAGCCAGAAGACAGCGCAGGTGGCCAAGAATCAACCCCACCAATGGACTCCTCTCTCGGAGAGCAATCCATTGGTGGGGTCACTCGTTCGGTTCGAGTCCTAAGCAACTCTGGCGCACAAAACGCGTCCAGACTTTTGGTCGCCTGCGCGGGTCCTCTGGCACACTGTGCGATGACCTTTTTTGGCGACGGTGATGGTGACGGCGACGCCTGCCTCTGCCCTGCTGCAGGGACACACGACGGGCAACAACTGCGAGCGCTGCGTGGAGGGCTGGTTCCGGCCGGCCGGCGTGGCCGCCGACGCCACCAAGCCGTGCGTGCCCTGCGAGTGCCACCCCGAGGGCTCCTCCGGGGCGTGCGCCGCCGACGACACGACGCCGGGAGTGGTGAGTACTGTGCGGTTCGACTGCGGCGGCGTGAGGGGCACCGCGTTGACGGCGTGCTCTTGTTGCTCCTCCAGGAGGCGGGCGCGTGCGAGTGCCGCGAGGGCTTCACCGGCTTCCACTGCGACCGCTGCGCGCCCGGCCACCGCAACTTCCCCACCTGCGAGCCCTGCCCCTGCGACCCCCGCGGCTCCGAGCACGCCGCGGACTGCGACGGCGAGTGCTTCTGCAAGGTAGGCCGCCGCCACCGTCGCGGGATCGAGTTCATTTTGCGCAGTGCTGTACTTTTTCTTATGCTCCGCCCCGCTTGTCCTCCTCCAGGCACACGTGGAGGGCGCGCGTTGCGACCGCTGCCGCCCGGGCTACTTCGGCCTGGACCGGCGAGACCCCAACGGCTGCTCGGCGTGCTTCTGCTCGGGCATCACCACGGACTGCACCGAGGCGGCGCTGGCCTTGACCGAGGTGAACCACTACCAGGGCTGGCTCGTCAGCGACCTGCGCGTCACGGAGACCGTCACGCCCGTGGTGGACCAGGACACGGGGCTGCTGACGGTGGCCGACGCCGACCTGGACGTGGACTCGTACTACTGGCTGGCGCCGCCGCCCTACCGCGGCAACCTGCTGGCGTCCTACGGCAGCGTCCTCACCTTCGCCACGGCCTGGGTGGTGATGCGCGGCGACACGAGCGGCAAGCCCACGGCGGGGCCCGACCTCATCCTCATCGTGAGTCTCGGGCTTGGCGCGCCTCCACTGTGCTCGAATCTCTCTTAATCGGCGTTTCTCCACCCAGGGTGCGAACGGCATGCGAGTGGGCTACGGTGACTCGGTGCACGTGGAGCACAACGCCACCGTCAGGGTGCCCCTTCGAGAAGGCCCTGAAGGCCACGAGTCCGCTGAGCCGTCGTGGTACCTGCTCCGGGACGGCGTCCGGGACATCTCGACGCGCCTGCGGCGGACCGGCTCGGAGCAGGTCGAGTCGCCGTACCGCGGGGAGCCCGCCACGCGCAACCAGCTGCTCTCCGTGCTGGCCGACGTGCAGCACGTCCTGGTGCGAGCCAAGTACCACCGCGACCAGGTGGACGGCAGCCTGGAGATGGCGGTGCTGCAGCGCGGCGAGCCGGCGCCCGACCAGGACCTCCTCGACGGCATGGCGGGCTACTCCAGGCCGGGCGTGATGCTCACGCTGGTGGAGCAGTGCGCGTGCCCGGACGGCTACGTGGGGCTGTCCTGTGAGGCGTGCGCGTGGGGCTACGCGCGCGTGTCGGCGCAGGGCCTGGGCAGCAACGCGACCACGGGGCTGGCGTCCGGCCACCGCGGCCTCTGCGCCAAGTGCAACTGCAACGGCCACGCCGCCTCCTGCGACCCGGACACCAACGCCTGCGGGGTGAGCGTGAGAATGCGCATGGCCAGAACGACGCAGCGACTCATACAGTAGAGGCGGCCAACACTCTAGACGCGTGTTGAGCTCCAGAGTCGCTGAATGGAACTCGAACCGAACGTGTGAACCCACCGCACGGATTGCTCTCCGATCGAGGAATCCATTGGTGGGGTCGCACGTTCGGTTCGACTCTGGCGCTCAAATCGCGTCTAGAATTTTGACCGCGTCCATCGGTCTTCTGGCCCACTGTGCGACTGTCCACCACATTCTCGAGGAGAATCTTCACTAACGTGGATCCCTCCCACGCAGACGTGCGAGCACAACACCGCGGGCGATCGCTGCGAGCGCTGCGCGGACGGCTTCTTCGGGGACGCGCTTCGCGGCCTGCCCGGGGACTGCCGGCCGTGCGCCTGCCCGCTGCTGCTGCCGTCCAACAACTTCAGCCCCAGTTGCGAGCTGCAGATGCCCACCGACCCCGTCGGCGACAACGACGTGCTGGAGGACTACGTGTGCACGGCGTGCCCCAGGGGCCACGCGGGCCGCCACTGCGACAGGTGAGGCCGGCGCCGTCCTCGCCAAGTTTCTCGCCCCGGGCATTTCGGACTGGTACAGTACTGACTTGTTGCAGGTGCGCCGAGGGCTTCTTCGGCGACCCCACGGTGCCGGGCGACGCGTGCCGGGCGTGCGAGTGCGGGGGCGGCCCGTGCGACGCGGCCACGGGGCGCTGCCTCAGCTGCCCCGGCAACACGGACGGCTGGCGCTGCGAGAAGTGCAAGGCGGGCCACTTCGGCGAGCCGGACAAGGGCCTCTGCAGACGTGAGTGTGCTCACCGTCACCCCCCGGCCGCGTTTTCAGCTCCAGAGTCGCCAAACAGGACTCGAATCGAGCGTGTGACCCCACGAATGGATTCCTCGTTCGGAGAGCAATCCACTGGTGGGGTTGCACGTTCGGTTGGCGAGTCTGGAGCTCAAAACGCTTGTAGAGTTTTGACCCCATACTGTGCCTCAGCCCGCCATCGCGCCCCTGCGGTGGAGCTTCAAGCTGAACTGTGACGGAGTGTCTCTTTCCCATCCAGCGTGCCAGTGTGACAATGTCGGCGCCGTGACGACGGACTCGTGTGACGAGGCGACGGGGCAGTGCCAGTGCAAGCCGAGGTACACGGGTCGCACCTGCGACCGCTGCGAGGTACGTGTGTGACTGACTCCCTGACGCCAGTGTGTGTGTGTGACGACGCGTGACTAACCACGTGACTTGTCCGTGACAGGAGGGGCGCGGTAACGTGACGGCGGGCTGCGTGGCGTGCGCGTGCAGCGGCAAGGGCTCGACGTCGACCTCGTGCGACGCGGTGACGGGGGCGTGCGACTGCAAGCCCGGCTACTCGCCACCACACTGCCACGCCTGCCTGCAGCACCACTACGACGACCCGGACACCGGCTGCGCAGGTAAGTCTCGCTTCAGTGCCCCGTGCGCCGCGCGCCCGGCGGGTAGGCAGCCCATCGTACTCGAGCGGTGGATGGGCGGCCTGCACGCGCCCCGGTCGCGGCGCGAACCCCCAGCCAGCCACCAGTGGTCCATTCGGCCGGCCGCGGCAGCGAATCCACTTGGAGAGTCGCTCGAGAGACACTCGTTTTGGGCCGTTTACGACGGCATCAAACTGTTGACGGTGTCGTTTCGGCCGTTTACGGCCGTTTAAGAGGCGAAGCCCCCATCGACATCGACGAGAGAAGCGCGCGTTGCACTCCGCTCTAGAAATCGGCCGGCGGGGAAAAAGAAAGAAGGATAATCTGTTTGGCATTTCGAGAGGGAGAAACCGTCCCGGGGTAGTACGGTCTCCGGTGTGCGTGCGGCGGCCGACGGAATGCCGGTGCTGCGGGGGCCAAGGCGGGGGCCGCTCCGCATCATTCCGAACCATCAGTTCGTCTCTGTCTGTGTCGCTCTCATGGAGCGTCCCGCAAGGGAGTAAGAGAGACAGAGCCGAGAAACGACCCCTCCGAATGAGGCAGCCAGCCTGGCCCAGTGCAGCCCAGTGCATCAGGCTGCGGGCTTGGCTGCCCTGGCTGCCCTAGTGCAGCCTGGCCGTCATGACCTGCTCTGTCAGCCGCGTCACGCAGAGCGCCCTGCAGCGGGCCGTGGCTGGGCCGGCCGGCCGGTCCGGTCCGACCACACCGCGTAGTAGTACTATTTTCAATTAGGCAGAGATTCCCCTCCGAGTATCTCCGTCTGTCAGTGTCTGTCTGCCTGTCTTTGTTTCGCCGTAGCGACCCGGCCTGGTCGCAACCGCGTGACTGGCGCATAGCGGCCCCGCAGGCTGATTCCGAACAGAGCTTTCGTCGCGAGGCGTCTCTCGCATCCCTGCGCAACTCTCCATGAGTAGGAGAGAGAAAGTTCCAGTCGCTCGCATCCCTGCGGGCATCCATGAGTGCGAGAGAGACAGTTCGGAGCACTAGTTCCGGCGCTTTGCCTGGCCTCTGGCACCGCCGCGACACACCGACTATGGGACAGCTACCCAGCTACCCCGCCCCTGCCGACGCCCGTGTCCCCCGAAAAATGATGAGTGGTTCGTTCTTCGGGCGTCGCCCCGTAAGGGGGGAGGGGCGGGGCGTCCCGCGACGCCGCGTGACAGAAAACAGACGAAAGCACACTTGAATGCAGACGAGGCCCCCTCTCCGCCACGGCGGTCACTTAGGTCTGACGAGACGTAACGCCCGTCCACTATTCTTGGTCGCGAGGCGCGCGGCGAAGGGAGTCGCGAAGGGGGGAGAGAGAGAGAGAGAGAGAGAGAGAGAGAGAGAGAGAGAGAGAGAGAGAGAGAGAGAGAGGCGAGGGAATATGGAGCAGGTGGCGCGGGGGGGGGTGCGTCGTGTGCAAGTCGAGTCGAACGGATGAAATGGAGCTCTTTGGTTCTATTTCCGGACGGCGCAGCGCTTTACCGCGAGGCAGACTGACATTGCACTTGCCGCCCCGTCCCTCCCCTCCCCTCCCCTCCCCTCCCTCCCTGACCGCGACGCGACATGGGCCATTTCTCCGCCCGAATCTCTCCCCTGCCATCACGACTGTTTGTTCAAGTGGGACGGACGGACGGACGGATTTGGCGTCTTTAGCGACGCGCACGGCGGGCCGGCCGGCCGGGCGGACGGGAACCGGGTCCGCGGTCCGCGGTGCGTGGTCTGCGGCCGTCCCGTCCCGTCCCGCGCTCGACGCGACGCGACGCTCTCCGAGGCGCTCTCGCATGGCGGGACTCATTGAGCACGCTGCCAGCCTCGAGCTTCACGCTCCACGCCACGGAGTGCCCCCCGTCCCTCGACGGCGAGCCCGGCGCGATCCGGTGCCCGCGATCCCATACACTGCCACACTCGTCTTAAATCGGTGTTTGAGTCAGTTGCCAGCGCGCTGGGGTCTGATCCTCGCCACGCATCTATGATGGGGATTATTTTAGAACCTTTCTGGGAATCACTCGGACTTCTCGGCTTGCCCGCCCCTTTTCTATGCCGGCGCCGCACTGCCTGCGTTGGCGCGGTCTTGTTTTGGCGCGGGGTGTGGGTGGGGCTACGGTTTTGGGGGCTGCCCCTTGAACCGCGGTGCGGCGGTGCGGTTTGTGTTTGTTCCCCCGGCACGACTGCGACTGCGCCTTGACGGTGTCGTGGCGTTGCGTGCGGATGCGCCGCGCCGCCTCGGACCGCAACCAACTTTGATTATCATTCTTGTTTCTCCTGTAGGGAAGTGCGTTTCGTCGGTCGCGTACCGAGGGTAGTGGGTAAACTCATCACCGCACACCGGCGGCGCCGTCCCCGCCACCTTCCGCGACGAACCGCGACGCCGCCAAGAACACGTCAAAACCAACGTCCGGGTTTCCCAGGCGCACCCTGGAAAAACAGGGCATTTTTCCAGGGTGCGCCTGGGAAACCCGGACGTTGGTTTTGACGTGAACGCGGCGGTGCACGTCAGGAGAGGCGTCGGGCGGGCAGGTGACGAGCAAGGGCGTGCTGCAGGACGGGCTCCTTGTCGTCCTTTGCGCCCCGCCCCGCCCCGCCCCGCCACGCCTCGCCACGCCACCTCAAGATTGCATCCGCGACCTACCTGACGCCCCCTTCTCCGCTCCTCCCGTCCCTGCAGGCGCGTCTCGATTCGTCTTGTGAGATTGAGATCGATTGACTCCATTAATCAGTTCGCCGGCGTGGTTTAAAGTGGCGTAGCGTACCGCGAAACGGAGGTGTATGTGTGTGTGTGTGTGTGTGTGTGCATATTGGGGGGGGATGCAACAGGTGTCTTCCCCCCCCCCCCACACACACACACATACACACTGACGCTCCGACCGATCCGCAGTCAAGGTGGAGCAGAGAGAAAGCACATGATGACCGAAACGGCGAAGGTCTTTTCGGCTTGTCGTGGGTTCGAATCCTCTGTTGCGTTTTCCGTTTTGCCACGGCGGGCCCTGGATGATCTTTTCACTGGGGACCGGACCAGCCGCTGCTGGACGGCCTGGTGGGGCGCGGCGGGGCGCGGCCGATGACGCCGTGGATGAGGTTGCTTATCTGGCGGCCCCCATCGCCTCTCCTTTGACATCGGTATTGGTATTGGTATTCGACCATGCAGCCTTTGCTTCGCTTTGCTGCGGCATGCGCTGCCGGCCGCCACGGCCGCTGCTGCGTCACTGCGGCTGCAATTGCAATGGCGATGCAATCTAACGCGGACGGTCGTCGTCGGCGCTTGTCCGATGCCCCGATGCCCGCAGTCGGCGATTCCGCACGTGTCGCCCCGTCTCTCTCGCACCCCTACGGTGCGCCCCGTGGGTGCGAGAGAGACAGCGGCGATAGCGCGGTTCGCAGTGGACCTGCTGCGCTGCTGCGGCACGGCCGACGCGGGATATCGCTTTGCCGGGGCCAATAATTAATAATTTACGCGCAGTCCCTCGGCCGCTGCAACCGCACTGCAGTCACGGCGCTTCGCTCCTATTCCTATTTCGGGGCGCAAATGCGCTGCGGGCCAGCGGGCCGATTCCGAGGACTGCTTGCGTCGCGCTGTGTCTCTCTCTCTCTCTCTCTCTCTCTCTCTCTCTCTCTCTCTCTCTCTCTCTCTCTCTCTCTCTCACACCCGCATGGCGCGTGCCGTGGGTGCGAGAGAGACAGATCGACCAAAGCGTAGCCTTCGGAATCGGCTGGCAGGCAACCACCCGCAACCACCCATGGGCCATGGGCCTGCCCCCGCCATCCATCTCCACGACGTCATTTGTCACTCCGTGTGTCCCGCCCGCAGACTCATTCCGAGAGTCGTTTTCGTCGCTCTGTCCCTCTCGCACTCATGGAGCGTCCCGTATAGGTGCGGGAGAGACAGAGCAACGAAAACGACTCTGCTGCTCCCCGCCCTGACGGTGTAGCAGTGCGGCCGTGGGGGGCGGTCTTGGCGGTCCTGTTGGCCTTAGACTGATTCCGCACGGTGCAGCCGTCGCTCTGTCTCTCTCGTGGCGGTAGCGCCCCTTGAGTGCGAGAGAGAGACCTCCCACTCGGAATCAGTCGGCCTGTTGGCGTGCAACAGCCGCTGTGGTCCACCCTTGCCCGCAGTGCCGCGTGTCGTGTGGGCGTCGGGGCCTCCGAGGCCTCCAGGGCCTACACTACTCGGCGACACTGTCGGCAGGCAGGAGGAAATAAAGGGGCCGCGAATCGGGTGATTTGAACCGCCGTCCTGCGGCCCGCGGGTTGGCTCACAGTGGGCCAGAAGACCGGTGGAGGCGGTCAGAATCCCGGATGCGCTTTGAGCTCCAGAGTCTCTGAATGGGACTCGAACCGAACGTGTGACCCCACCGACGCAGTGCCCTCAAGACGAGGAATCCATTGGTGGGGTCACACGTTCGATTCGAGTTCTGTTTAGCGGACTAGAGCTCAAAACGCGTTTAGAGTTTCGGTCGCGAGCGCCGGTCTTCTGGCAAATCCACTGTGCGGCCGTGGCACGCGCTGGCCACTGCGCCGCAGGTGGCCCCGCCGGACCCTGCCGGACCCCGTACTTAGGGGCGGCGACGATGACGCCGCCCTGCTTCGCCCTGCTTCGCCCTGCCCCCTCCCTCCGCGGCGACTCGGCTGGTGGTAATCTCACTTAGGTATTCATGAGCCGGACCAGCCTCTGTGTGTTCTGTCGCGCCTCACGCCGCGGTGCGCCGCCGCCCCGGCAGCAGGGGTGGTCCCTAAATGTCGCATTTTATTACCGTCATTATCGGACCGAAAAAAATGGAGTCATTTTTTTTTGTGGATCTTTGTGTATGGGCTCTGATTGGTGTAGCGGTTTCAGTTCCTCGGCCAGCCGGTCCGGCGGTGTATGCAGCCTCGCGGCCCTCGCGGCCCTCCTCCAAAAACAACACACGATCACGCCGCGGGAATCTAAACAAAAACGGCGCCGATAAGTCCCCCCCCCCCCCTCTGACCATGGGAGGAGGCATCTCCCAATAACGAGG